CTCATTAACCACACGAACCGCCTCAATGCTCGGCACAACCTTCCTTGCATCCACAACGCTAGCCAAATAGGCCCAGGCACCACGCTGGAGAAGATGGCTAGCCTTCAATGCTAACACCACCCTCGGGACCCCGGCCTTGACTCCTTTAAAGGTAAAGTTTTGTCCGGAGGGCAAGCGAAAGCTAACTTTCTTCTTCGAGCAATCAATATTAGCCCGGTTAGCAGCTAACCAATCCATGCCTAGTATCACATCGAAATCCTGCATATCCAGTTGGATTAACTTCACCTCCAAGGTCTGACCATCGAAAGAGAGCTGGCCTCCTTTCACCACTTGACTAGTGACCAACACAGATCCTGACGGTGTGGATACCGACAACAAAAAGCCTAATGATTCTAGCTCTAAGTCCGCATGTAGAACAAAGGTAGAAGCAATGAAAGAATGACTAGATCCAGAGTCAAATAATGCGTAAGCAGGCATACTAAGCACTAAAACAGTCCCTGCAAAAGTAACACACATGCAATAAAACACAAGCATATACACACAGCTCAAGACTCGCAAAGAGAAGGTACATGTGACCACCGCCTCGGCATACTCAACATCCCCCCTGGTGAGAGCGAAGACGCGCGCCCTATGGGTCCCACCTTGAGCTGCCGCTGTCGCAGGGATCCTCTGGCCTAAAGCTTGGGTATTCGAGCCGGTCATCGGACACTCCCTTGCGAAATGTCCTTCCTTCTGGCACCTGTAACATATTCTTTTTCCCACCCAACATGGCCCAGCATGGCTTTTCTTACAAGAGGGGCACACCGGAGGAGCAGTTTGCCTTTGCACATGATGCTGGTGTCTTCTTGAGGGTTGACTGGAGGAGAACGATGCAAATTTCCTCTTGACCCCCGAGCTGGAGCCTATCACCTGCTGAGACTGAGGCTCCTCAAGACATTTGTCCATAACCAAAGCACACCTGACTGCCGCTGCATATGTAGTTGGTTCCTTGAGAACAAGTAGCCCCTTGATCTCCCTACGCAGACCGTCAATGAACTTGTCAATCTTTAATTGCTTAGTAGGAATATACTGCATTCCAAAACGGGACAGCTCAGTGAACTTCCTCTCGTATTCGGCCACAGTTAGGCTTCCTTGAGTGAGACGGAGAAACTCTACCCGTTTTTCATTCCTGACAGTCACGGGGAAATAGTACTCATAGAGTAGGTCCTTAAATCTTGCCCATGTGACGGGTACGTTGGCGTGATCCTCTGCTGCCGCCACCGACTCCCACCAATTTACTGCTTCTCCCCGAAGCATAAACACTGCTCCCCGGACCTTGAAATCGTCGGAGCACCCCAGATACACATAAAGGGCTTCCAACTCCCTGACCCATTCCTCGGCCGCAGTAGGCCTCTCACTCACCTCGTTGAAAACGGGTGGCCCAAAGCGTTTGAAATCTCTGATAAACTAAACCTCCTCTTGCGGAATTTGTGCCCAGCGAGGCTGCTGCACTTGAGCTCCACCGGCTCCATTCGCATTATCCAGCAATACTTGCAATGCCTCAGCTAATAACGCCACCTGGGGATTCACCTGGGGAACTCCCTGAGAAGCTGCCTGAGGGCACGGGGGTGCTACCCCTCCAGGAACTGCCGGGGGAACATTCGGATCCGCTGCTCCCTCACCTCTAGGATTCGGATCCTCGTAGTTGTGAGCTCTCGTGTTCCGCCGAAAAGCCATTGTCTAAAGGAACAGAGAACAGAGTACCAAGGTCATTAACGCATTAACCGGGGCACAACACAAGCGCAAATTTCAAGCAAAGTCTATGTAATGAACCAAGGAAACACGCCGACCTATCTAATATCAGTCAATAATAATATCTCAATCATAAGCAATATGAAACATTCATGATC